AGATGTCGGGTTTCCGGGAAACCATGCTTCACCAGGCGTAACATAGTCTTCTTGAGCATTTTCATGTGCATTTTCGAAAAATTCGGGATCAGAGTCACCATCATTATCTGTCTCCAATTCATCCAATACATTTTCTGACAATATCCCCAATAATTCAGAATCCGTGATTGGATATTGAGGTGAATGGATAAGTAAATTTGTTTCTTCTCTGTTTGGTTCTTCGATAAACGAATCCATAACTGCGAGTGTCTCCTCGATGTGGAGGGTATTCCAAGCAGGATCGTCCCAGGAATGAGAAGTTCCAGGTACTGGGTTGTCGTAAGAATCCATAACCTTGGAACAAAACATTAATTTGTACTACTTTAATAAACTTTTTTAACATTATGAAACAAACAAATCAATGAATCTCTCTGGCTTATACAGGTTAGCCGGAAGATTGACGTCCAAAGAAAAAAATTAGGTCCCCCGTTTCACGCGGTCTTGAATCACCCCATGTAAGTTTTGCACAGTTTTAAGGCCTACTTAGGAATCATGAAATGACGTTAAATCAAAGAAAGATTTAGATAGAGTTACACTCTGATAAAGTAGACTTTCCATTTAATAAATAAACCAAAATGGAGAGTACTCACCGATTTTCAAAATTCCAGCTGTGGCAACTTAAGGTAGACACGAGAACACTCAAAGTCCAGTAAACGTTTGCCAAAGTAGTTCAAACAGTATCTAACAGGTCCGGTAATCGTAAGCAAAGGTATAGTCGAAACAGCACTCAAACAAGTCCAGTAATCGCAAGCCAAGGTAATCAAAACACGGGAGTCCAGTAAATGTAAGCCAGGTCACTAAAGTAGAGAACAGATAAACGCATGCGATGACGAAAGGGTCGTACAGAGCACTGAAATTGAATATTTAGTTGCAAGTGCATTCTTGGAGTGCGATTTAACATTAGCCAATGAGAGCTTCGCAAAAAACAATGTTATCAGTGCTTTTGTTCTTCAAAAACAGCGGCGCGCTGTTGTTTTTTTGCCAGCAGCTTTATCAATGCCGACCCTTTATAAAAAAACATTTTCAACCCTTTGCAAAGCCACAAGATTTATGTGATCTCAAATATTATGATAACTCTGTATTTCTTAAGCTTGTTTTTTATTCTAATGAAACTAAGATGGAATCTCTATAACTCGAACCTCGTTAAGTCGAAAAGAATTGCCATTCCCTTCCACTGAACCCCTAGATACGCGATATCTTAAATTTTAAGACTATATAACTTGAACAAAATGTTATTTCCCTACGAAGTATTTATATATTATATATTCTTACTTGGCTTAATAACAGGGTAAAAAATTAAATCTATCTTAAAATTACAATTAAATTAAAAACTATATTATTACTTATATAAAACATTGTGTATAAAAAAATCTATTTAACTAAATTTATAAGGAAAGGAAAAATAAAGGAAAATAAACTAGATATAAAAGGCAGCATCCAAATTGCTGTCGCCGGGCCGTATAAGGCTGGCAACGAAGTATTGATAGTACATATTTATGTAATACTCTATAACTCGAATTTCTAAAAGGAGACTCCGTAAGTCGTAGTTAGTACAATATAATGACGTCTTACTTGGAATTCCCCGAAATAATAGCAATAAAATCCAAAATGAATGTTCGGGTTCGGGGCTTCTAATCTATTGTTTTTGTCTTATACACGTGCAATGAATGAAAACAATCATAAAACTTTATAAGTAACACAGCTGTGTTATGTTTGTTCCTTGTCGACACGATTACTTTTAACGGAGCTTGTCCGTCAGTATTAATTTTTAAGTCGAAGTTTCAGCGCATTTAAATCATATGTATCTCGAAGTTTTTGGTAAGTCGAAAACTCGTTCGAAATTGTTAGCATTTCCCTTAACATTCGAGTTATTAAGATTCCACTGTAGTTTGTGGTATATTGGTTCCATATCACAAGTATGTAGGTAGTCCTTGCTACTATGTTGACGTCGCGACATATTTACTTTAAAAGGTTGAGGATCTATGGCAGCGAACTCGCCTAGCGAGTTCAAGGCATTGCAGAATAGTTTTTTTCCATTCAAATATAAACGGGGTCTCCGCACCCGGCCCACCTCGTAAATCTTTAGTTTAGCATATATTTAGTCTAAACTATAATTTTGAGCAGAAAATACGGATGCATTTTCGAAATATTGGTGAAAAACACTGAACTCGCCAGGCGAGTCGTCGGCACTGGAATAAAATTTACGTGAACTCGCCGGGCGAGTCGGTGGCACTGAACGTGTTAAGCCGTTAATGAGTTCTATTAATCATCATATTCGACTACGACAATTACTTGACTATAACGATGTTACAATAGGAGACTCAAATATCTGGATAGCCCATAAAAGATTCAGTCGTGTATCGTTGACTTGCTCTTAAGAATTGAAGAGTTCCGTAACTTTGTCATGGATCCCATAATCAAAACCTAACCAGGAGTCGCGCCCAGACCCTTTAACGACTAAGCTGATTGCCACACCAATGAAAATCTCAGTCTTTGATATTATGATTTTTTATTCGCATTTTAAGGATAAAAGTAATTACTTAGAAGGTATTGATTTGGAAGGTAGGGAAACAACATTATGTCAAATTTTTCTGCGTTTTATTTCCTATCCATATCGAGAATATCGTGAGCTCCTCTCGTATCTTTTGAAAAATCTTTAGGTTGGTGTAGCATTAAAAATTTACTGTGCACGAAGCAGCTGCATTTGTTGATCGCTCTAGGACGTATCACCAGTCCCAATCACCAAATCAAGTGTACAATAGTTTAAGTTTAGTTTAAGTTTCTTTATTTGCTGATAAATAGGTAGTACAGAAAAAATTTTTGGTCTTGTTATCTTGTTGTTGTCACAAATGTCAACCTAACCTATTTAGCTGTTTTAAACAGCATGCAAATGTCCAGAAGATATATTTTTATAAAATCAGTTGTCAATTTTTTTTTTTTTTTTTTTTTTACATGTAACTAAAATTGTCCTACAATTTTAATAGATATATTAACTAATTAATGCATCGATTTTAAACAAAAAAATAACAATGAAATAATATTAACAACATTAATTAGGTATTACAATTTAAAAACTCATTTATTGCGTAAAATAGTTTCTCTAGTAGCCATCGTCGTAACGAAATTTTAAACATATTATATGGTAATTGTTTTATAAAGTGATTTTGTAGTTTGAGACATCGGGTAAATCATTTATATATAATATAAATAGCAATGGTCCAAGTATACTACCTTGGGGAACGCCAAAAGTGTTTTTTTTTGAATTCCGATCTATATACCTGAGCTATGTTATTTCGATCTAATTGTGTTATTTCAACACACTGTGACCTATTTTTTAAATAGCTTTCTAGCCAGCTGTAAGTAGGACCCCTTATTCCATTAGCCTCTTATTTGGCAAGTAATTGATCATGTGAGACACGATCGAATGTTTTAGACATATCAAGAAATAGTACTGTTGTATAATTTTTTTGATTCACATTTTGCAAGACTTCCTTTACTAACGTAAACGCAGCATGTGTTGTCGATTTCTTTTTTATGAAACCATGCTGATTTTGTTTTATTACATTAAATTTAGTGAAAAAGTAGTTGTAGTAGGTGTAGTGTGTAGTGGGAAGTAAGTTGGTAGTGTATAACTTTTTCGAATAATTTTGAAAGGACTGGGACTATTGCTATTGGTCGATAGTTAGTTATATCACTTTTATCTCCCTTTTTGTGTAACGGTTTTACTATTGAAAATTTTAATTTGTCAGGAAAAGTCCCTGCTTCTAGAGAGAGATTAATAAGAAATGCCAATATTTCACTTATTTCGTTATTACAGGATTTAATTATTTTTGTACATATTGAGTCATAGCCTTCAGATTTGGTGTTATTTAAAGTCATTATTATTTTCTTGATAATGTTCTTATTTATAGGGGTCAGAAAAATTGATTGGGTAACTTCATGTCAGTTGAATTTTCAATTTTATATCGCATCTGATTTGTGGTGTTGATGAAATAATTATTCATAATGGCTGCTATTTCGGTAGGTTCCGTTAATGTTTTTCCATTATTTACTATTTTATTTATATAGCTTTTAGTATACCCACAGCTTGTCTCATTTTTTATGATTCTCCAAGTTGCTTTACATTTATTTTTACTATTTATTACAAATTTATTATTTGCTGTTCTTTTAGCAATGTTAACACTTTTTTTTAATAGTTTATCATAATTTATATATTTATCTCGGTCACAAATTTTTTTGGTCATATAAAACTTGTATCTAATTTTACGTTTAGTTCTACAACTTTTTTTTAAACCTTTGGATATCCATGTTAGTTTAGTAAAAGTATTAGACTTTATTCTTATTTTAGGAAAACATAGTTTATAGAGTAATGTGAAAAAGTTGAAGAATTCATAAAACGCAGTATTTATATCAGTCTGAGCATAAATTTCACTAAATGAAATGCATTTTAAATATTTTTTAAAATTGTCTATATTTTGTTCAGAATAGTCTCTAGAATAAGAAAAAATTGTTTTTGGTGTTTCGTTTTTGTTAGTTGTTGCAGTAAACTTTAATACCTGTGCAGTATCATGATCAGAAAGCCATAATGATGGTACATATCCAATTGCTTTGTCAATGTTAATAGTAATAAGATCAAGACACGATTTGCCTCTAGTTGGTTATTCTATGTCAAAATGAAGATTGTATTTTTTCACAATATCCTTAAGCCAAGTAGTGTATTGACTGGATTCAAGTATGTTAATGTTCATGTCTCCAGTAATAATTATTTTCTTTTTTGAATATTTTAATAGATATTTATGAAGGAGTGAGTCAAGGCTGTTAAAAAAATATTCTAAATGACGTTTGGTTTTTGAGGGAATAGTAGTCCTTACGTATTACCGCCCAGTTACTTCTTATCCTTGCGTCTGGTGCGTGAGGTAACCGGTAAAAAAATTATAAATCTTATAGCTGTATGTATATCCATGTTTATTCTTAGTAAGTGATATAGATATATCAGTTAAAAAATCAAGTTGATGATCAATTTGAAAATTTATTACCTCGTCTATTTGTTTGTACCTTTCATAATTTTTCAGGTTTCCTAAAATTATCTCTTAAGAAAAATCATGTGAAAAACAATGAAGTTACGAAGAAACTCAACCGAAGTTCTGATGTTATTATTCTTGACGAATCCTTTGACAGATTACAAATGGATTTCCCAAAAACTGTGAGTATGAGTATTGGAAACCTCCTTCTTAAACGATTATTAAGCACTGGAAACGGCTAGTCACTTACATCTGTATATAAAACTAGGAGGATAAAAAAAAAGTATTACCTTTGAAGGAGCTCAACTATACAATAGACTACCTACTCATATAAAAAAATAACCACATTTAACAGTTTTAAGTCTCAATTATCTCAATATATACTTGATAGCTTTTCGCCTTCGGTTTGAGACATAAAGCTGTTAACTGTTTGGCGACCATAACATTATTTTATGATTGTATAATATTCTCATGTAAGTGGCATTGTACTGTCTTGTTGGGAATAAATTTCTTTAACCTCATGTTGTAATTTAATTATTTTTATTGTAGGTTCTTATTAAAATAAGAAAATGTTTTGTCAAATTTCAACCAATATTAATTGTAGAATTAATGAAAAAGACGACATGGCTCAGTTTTCCATTGATGTCCGTCGAGTTGGTGGTTGATATTTTTTTTACAGAAAAGTTACCTTATTAGGAAACTCATAGTTTTTGAGAAAAAAATATTTAAAACTTGTTTTTTCCACTAAGAGAGTCCGCTATTTTACTGCTTTGACTTCAAAAACTCCATACACAGTACTGCCAACATGATAAATATAGGAAGCAAGCGACATCATACTCATATAGATTGTAAAACAATTTATTAAATTTTTCATAAATTAAGAACCGAATTTTTCAACCCCTACAGACCTTTACCATGTGTTTTTAGAGCCTGGAGGCTTTTTTTTACTTGACCCGCAGCGCCAGAGATAAGACAGAAGTACTGGTTCTTTTTTTCCTACTCTTTGTTTGCTAAAAAATAGGGAAAGACAAAGTAAGGTGACAATTTAAGAAAAAAATGGTGACTCCAACCAAACTACAGGGGGTTCCTATGAAAACATAGGATATATATATGATTGAACAGATCATCATTATTTTCACAACTTTATGGGAGAAAAATATCTTAGTATTTAAGCCATTTCAATATTATTGTTCAATATCATAAATAAGTTCAATATTATATAGTTTCAACTACTCCTTTACAACCTACTTTATAGGAATGTATATTATATATAATTATGTCACTCACCTTTTAGTTCTACAGAAAAAGTGGATTGTAAACATTTTATTACAACTGAAAGTAATTTAATCCAGTAATTTATCAATGTCGTGTCCCTAGCCTAGTCAATCTACAAGTACTAAGTTACAAGACAAAATCTCTGACATATCAGTGGAGCCATAGTAGGAAAAAAAATGTTTCTTACTTTATATTGTAATAATTAAAAAGATTTGAAGATGTTTTGTTTAAACTTTTCGTTTCAAATCCATCATTTGCTTATTATTGCTACTACTCTTGATTTAAATTTCAGATGACATCAAAGAGACTATGCTCTCCTATTATTATTAATGACTCCTGTGCGCTGTCTGATGATGAAGAATCACTAAAGATAAACTTTTCAGCCAATGAGCCAAGTAAATCAGACAAAGTAAGTAATAGATAGTAAAGGATTGTTTAAAACAGGGTATTGAATTTTATTTAATACAATTGATATTTTTTTTTGTTATAATAAAAAAAAACATCATCGCTATTAGCTAGCCATTTAATTATAATTTACTGAACGAACTTTGTAGCTATTCCTTTACAAGAGACATTATAGCAAAGGTTCTAGTATGGATATTAAATAACTTGTATACATACTTTTCTTTTGTAAATAAATACATATGTGAGTTATATAAACACCAAGACACTAAAAAAATACTATGCATCTTACAATATTTTTCTAGTAATGTGAATAGAACTTACACCCCCTGACAGGCAGGTCCACTATCCACTATGCCAAATGGTAACCATAAAAGAGAAAAAAGTACACACCTATATATGTCTCATTGCTGAGTTTTATTAGTTAAAGTATTTATATATAATAAAATTATAAATCTAACTATTTAATTGATTGAGGTGTGATTGGTAATTTCGTATGAAAAAATTAAATCTTTTAATATCAAGATAATTTACATATTTTGTCAATATGATACGAAATATTATGGATGATTAAGTGATTAAGATTTAACTTTTAAGATATGAGAGATAGAGAATACAAAATGTAGATTGATGATACAATTTAATGTGTTATTTTTTCATTCACATATTATTTCCCTTTATTTAAGATTCAGATGACGTCAAAGAAACTGGGCTCTCCTATTATCATAAATGAATCCTGTGAACTGTCTGAAGATGAAGAATCACCAAAGATAAACTCGTCAGCCAATGAGCCAAGTAAATCAGGCAAAGTAAGTAGTAGGTGGAAATTTAATGTAGCATAGTTTTAATAAATTGTCGTAAGTAAGTTACTTTGTTACGTTGTTTGTTGTTGTTATGATAATAATTTTAAGATTGCAATAGTTATGTTGGCATATAAGTTTCCTTAATAAGAGAAAAAAATAGCACAGTGTTGCTGCAGCGCCAGTGGTTGTGGGTTCGATTCCTACAAGGAACATGTATTTAAGAGATCCACAGATAATTGTTCCGAATCTGGTTTTTTTGTTTCCAAGGAGGGTTGACGTCAGACGGCCAGTCGCAGGAAAACCAAGCCAATATCATGACATATAATAGCATGATTCGATTTGATTCTTACAGGTGTCACTGAACTGCACAAGAGAAGAAGAGGCGATCACAACACCGCTAAAAGACTCCAGGCCAAGTTTTGGAGGCTGGTCCCCCGCCCAGAACATTCTCTGCGCAACGCCAAAAAACGAGCCGACGCCAACTACTCCGCAGGACGTGGCAAACGAATCATTAGAGCAGTGCTCCATAAAGAAGATAGAGATATCGCAGAAGAAGTTACTCAGCGACCTATACGGCGATACGTGGAAGAAGATACCGTCGCTGTTTAAAAGTATCTCGCACAAGCAGAACAATTTTGACGGCGTCTCGAAAAAACTGCAGTACGACGACGACAATGACAGCGACAAGGAAAACATCAAAGACGACCTGCAGAGGAACAAACTACTATATTTGACAGGCTCAGATGCCAAGCACAAAACTAACACAGATATCGGAAACACAGAGAAGAAGTGCAAGAAGAAATTATACACCGAGAAGGTCCCCAGTACACCCGAGATACCTAAATTGAAACCGAAAAATACTAGAAACGTAAACAGCACAACAAAGAAACAGAAAGGATTGACCGTCACTGAACTAGTCATGAAGAATGATGTAGATTACTTAACAAAGAAAGTCGGAACAGTAACAGTTACACCGTCAAAAGATACGGTTGTAAAGCGTCTCAGTTTTCTCGGCTCCTTAGCTGGTAAGTCTTGTGAAAGTACATAATTATTTTGTGTTGTCCACCTTGAATCCATGAAAATTAACAAAATTGCTCCATTCAAATTCAAAGTGTTTAAATTTATAAGATTTGTGCTGTTTGATGCAGCTCTTGGTTCTGTATAAAAAGCTCTTAGGTCAATTGGACACAGCTGTCACAGCCTTAAAAATATGTAGATAAAACTATTGCAAAACCTGGCCCTCGCTACTAGCATTCAAATCTGCTGAAATACGCGTAAGTAAAGGCGATATATATTACAAAATTAGTACAAATATTCATTGAGAGAAGGTTATTAGAAGAAATTTTTAGATGACGTCAAGCAATGCTAAAAATGCTAAAAAACAAAGTAGATAGGACGTCGACATTTGCAGGCGGCGATCGACCGCTTAGCTTAGTGGCGACCGTAATCTGGAAGGCACAGGTTCGAGTCCTGACCACTTTATATAACACATTTTATTAAATTAATCACACGTATGTCGTCATCAATTATTCATTCACTTATCATCATTTCGGCCTGTTTGAGTCCACTGCTGAACATAGGCTACCCCACAAACTGCCATGAAGCAAGATCCTGAGCCACCTGCATCCATCGACTTCCCGCACACTTGCACAGTTCGTCACTCCATCTAGTGGGGGGTCGTCCGCCACTGCGATGGCCAAATATTGTTAAACATTTTTTTTTAAATCATTACGTGTTACTTTACAGACAACGTGCCATCGTGGCGTTGCCATCCCGAGGCGATACAATATAGGGACAACTACAAAACGCTACGCGAACAGCTCTCTCGCCGTTTGTACGTCGAGTTCAACGAAGTCGTGTTCGATAACGCGTTGGACGCGGACCTTCCAATTATATGGGACACGAAACTGAGGAGTACGGCAGGGTTAGTATTTTTTTTTTTGCATGTGAGAAGGTGTCAAGCTGACGTCAAGTAATAAACGCAGCCTATGGACATTTGGAACACAATTTTATAGCAACTCATTGCGCATGCGTTGCCACCAAAATGGGCCCCGGCCACCGCACTCACCAGATGAAACGCCGTATAACACCTCTAGTTCACGCCAGTCTTCTATGAGATTGTAGTACTTACACGGATGAACTTGGCCATTCATGCAACAGCCAAAGTAGTTGCGTGCCCCCACCATATTTACACGGTTCGAATTTTACTTTTTTTATGTGTATGAAAATAATTATCATTAGGTCATGCATCACCACTAAGTTTACCTAAACGACGTACAGTTCTTATATTAAGTCTTGTGTATTATAAATTTTTTTTGTTTATTGTGGAAACAAAGATGAAGTAACTGTGATTACAGAATGTACACAATTACATGTTTGTGTGTACATATTCTTTGTTAGTGGAACCTCATTACGAATCAGTGGTAGATTTAAAAAAAAAATTACTATCATTTAGTTAGATTTACTATTCATCTACTAGATGAAATGTATATTTCTCACTTCGATGAATAAATTATTTGATTTGATTTGATTTCCAGGACTACAACTAACAGGTTGATCAAGAGCTCTAAAGGCGACCGCATACGAACGTCCAGCATAAAGCTGTCCACTAAAGTGGTGGATGCACCGCAGAGGCTTCGGGATACCTTGATCCACGAGCTCTGCCACGCAGCTACCTGGTTAATTGATGCCGAATTGCGTGCCGGACATGGATCTCTGTGGAAGAAATGGTAAATTTCTGCAGCCCTCTGTGTTGCCTTACAATTTTATAGCAACTCAGCACCTTCTGTTGCATAAACGGTTAGGCTCTAATTGGAATATAACGAATTTAGAAGAGTAACGGGACACTTATATTATATTGAAATAAAAGTGTATATTTTTATATCTTGTTAGTGCAACAAAGAAGACTCCTTTCGACTGGTAAGTGAGGTAACTGGGGTCCACTTTTTAATGTTGGTAATTCATTTGCAGCCTGTCAGGTGTTGTAGATATACAAAAGTCGGTATGGGTAGTGTATGAACAAAAAACAAATTTTTCATTAAATATTTAAAATTCTTAATGTCACAATGTTAACAAGTAACAAATCAGGTATTATGTATTGTCAAACGTCTATTTTATAGGGCAACGCGTGCATTGAAGGTCCTGCCGGAACTGGGAGAGATCTCCCGTTGTCACGACATGGAGATCCATTTCAAGTATTGCTACAAGTGCACAAAATGCGGTTACAGGTATTGACTTTCTCATCTCTGATTTTCTGACCGCCAATTTGTCCAAATCGTAATTTCGTTTTTTCGAGTTTTTGTCAAAGGAATATGGTGTTTTTATAAACTAGCAATATTTCTGTCTAGAAGAGATCTCTCATTTTACTTAAAACGATCGTAACAACCATTCGCATCTACTCCCCAGTGTGCAACGCCACTCGAAATCCATCGACGTGACGAAGAAGTGTTGCGGCTATTGCCGCGGCACATTTGAAGTAATTGTGAATAAGAAGAACAAGGACGGCGTAGTGGTTTCCACTCCGGCGCGAAAGGGAGCGGTGAACGAGTTTGCTTTGTACGTTAAGGAGAACTACGCGTCACTGAAAGACGGCACTCGGAGCCACGCTCAAGTGATGAAACAACTGGGGGAGCAGTTCTCAGCTAGGAAGAAGAAGCCGGCAGTTGACGTTGCCGATTTGGATATATGATGGTGGTGTGATCCATAAGGCTAACTAAACTAAGCAGCATAAAATTTGTGCTGCAGTTGAGACAGTGCCATCTACCGAATAGTTGTTTAGTTTTTAACGATCGGTACTAGATGGCGCTTTTTTCAAACTATCAAGTAATAGTTGTAAGTAGTTCAAATTTAGACAAAATCGGAATGTATAGCGACGTTGTACAGGTTACAATGAATTTATTTTTTGACTTTATTTGTATGTTTTTGTATAGTTGTAGCTTTTTATATTGTAGATATTAATATATCGAGAAATAATCGAGTTGTCTTGACTATAAAAGAAAAACGGTACAGTTCAGAGAAACATAAATCTCCATTCAAGGTAAACTTTTGAACTTACTTAACTTGAAGCAATGTAACGGGTGGTAAGCTAATTGTCGGTCTGTTGTTAAACGTGTTAATGTATATTTATTTATCACATAATAAAACTTGAATAAATTAAAGAGTCTATATCTGATGAGAAGAAAAAGATAAAACCAAACATAATAATATAAAACCCGGTCTATTATCTGGACAAGAATCTCGGGTGGTTGCTTTACACAGCTGTTTCATTTTCATCATAAACAATCATAGTCCACTGCTGGGCGTGGGCTCATTGTAACAGTTCTTACAGTTTGTACTGGTATTTAAATTTCTTACATTATGTCATACGTTTTTAATTGATATTGTACCGCTTTGCGCCTATATTAATTTTTAGTTGTTTACATTTGTTTGTATAGATGTAATATTAATAATTTATTTTTAGTCTTATTTTAAATACTATTGACTGACATGTACAGGTTGTATAATACAATTATAAGATATGACATTTCATTCCAAATAAATTGAGGGAGTAAATTTTGGTATTTGCCATACTTTACTATAATACTTTTGTTTTATTACTTGGGTGTTCTTATTGTCGAAGTTTCAATCGATGTAACTGTTGCGAACAAATATTTGATCTATTTTATATAATAATAGTCTACGACGGGACTAAACCTAGTGGCAGTTTAATTTTTAATGTCAAGGATTCGAATCACAGCGATATGTGATACGATATGTGGCTAAGAAAAAAGTAGACTGGCAAGGGGCACCTTTGTCATCTAAAATGTTTTAGTTGTTTGACATTTTTGAAAATGATATCTAATAATTAAAATTTCATAGCTGCATTGTATTTTGAGATATGACAGTCACATTGGTTATGGTATATGGTATTTTTTGGTTTTATTATTTTTAAACAATGTTTTAAATGTTTTCATCATCTTTTAGGAAATTCATTAAAACAGCGGAGCTTCAATACCGGCTTTTTATTTATTTTCATACATAGTAAATGTCAGCTTCTTGTTAAATGATAAAAGTAGGTACAGTCTTGAAAAATATTAAAGGAAAAATATCTAATTTACAACAAATTCGAACGCGTGCGTCCATATTCTTCCGGGCACAACACTGTGACCCATTTATATACAATTGCTTACAACTAAACGATAATAAAATTAAAAAAGTGGCATTGTATGGTGCAATATATCTACCATACTTAATTATATATATTGTATTTACATAGGATTTATCATTATATGAGCACTGCTAATTATCGCCACGTGATTATTTAAAAAGAAAATAACAGTTCGATCTTCAAAAAAGTGTAACGACGATCCGCCAATTTATAAATATTCTTTAGTATTTTTTTTCACCTAATCTATACAATTATTTCTTTTTATTTACCTATCTACTGTGTTGTGCCAACATTTAATACGCGACATCTGATCTAATAGTTTATAATATGTTCAACATACGCTTCTGTTGCTCAAACAACATTATCTACACAAATATTCCGTGTGAACGTTCTATAATTAAATTCTGATATTCTAACACGTGATGGTTAGGAATGGAGCTCTGTAATGAATATTAATTATACAATTATAATGAATAATGGCAGGAATAAGGTATTTTAAAAATCGTGTTGACTAGGCAGAAATGCTTCGTAAAACGCGTGTCATCTTAGAGAATTAATTAATCAATCGCGCTGACAGGTTGACAGTTGTTATTTTAGAAATAGATTTTAACAAGAATCGATTTAACATATGGCCATACAACCCTTGTTATTACTCGAATGATATGATACGCCTCTGATATTACCAACAGAATATAATGAAAAACACTTTTGCCATGGGGAAAACGTAACGATATAATTGTTATATAAAATCTAATGGACATTACAGCTTTGAGAACAATGGTCTTAAATCGAATTGTCAAGTACAAGCCTTTTATTTAAACAAATCAAACCAAACACACTGTCCGACTTAATTGTCAGGATGATTGGACGTTTCAGGTTTTGCATAGTCGGATAGTCTGTATGTCCTTTAAACGACTGTAATTATTTCGGACAGAACAACTAAAACGAAATCGATATCACAGGGTGAACCTATTTTACAACTTCTTAGATTTTTTATTAGTATTCGATAAAACTTTAAAGAACATTTGCTATATTTTTAGAAATTAATAATGTTGCCAAGTTCTTTGTATCTTACTTACATCAAATATTTTGTTCGCGTACGGTCATCAATAACGGCGCTATATGATTCATACGTTGTAAGGTTAGTCATTTTCAATATGTATATTTCTCTGCGGTACAGATTATAAAACAAACATCGACTGGCCGACACCAATAGGTGATTGAAATTATCCGCATGTACTGCCAAAGGACGACGTCCTCGAGAAGAAAAGGATCCGTCATCGCTGGTAGAACGTCGTTGAGATGCGAGTCGGCCCATCGGGCGTGGGGGAGACGCCTCCGGCTTCGAGAATAAAACGCTATGTACAAAAGGCCGCTATCGTTCGTTTGGATCGCGTCGAACGTATCGCGCATTAAGCCTATCTATTAATTTACAGTCTATACATGTGCCGCGGGCGCCTGGGACACGGGGCCCGCACCGTCAGAGGCTGGGCTGCTCCGCGGCTGGCCGGGGGCGGGATCAGGTCTGCGGCGGCGCGTCCTCCAGGGGGCGGAACCTGACGAAGCCGTCCTGGGCCACCAGCATGCTGCCGCCCCCCTCGCTGGGCGGCACCTCGTCCTGCGGCTGCGAGTAGGCCGCCTCGTAGGCGCAGCGCCGCGGCGCCGGCTGGGGGGTGCCCGCCGCGCACGTGTAGCCGCGCTCCTCGGGCCCCTCGACGAACCCGTACAGGTCCGTGGAGCTCGGCCGCTCGGGCGGGGGCGCCCCCTTGCCCCTCCGCGCGCCCCCCGCCCCCGGCGAGAGGCGCCGCTGCGAGCCGCGCCCCTGGCACGCCCCCTCGTGGCCCCTGCCCGCGCTCAGCGTCTGTATTCCGGACGAGTGGTAGGACGCGCTTTCGGCGCCGTAGTGGCCCCGGTACTCGTCCGCGTGCGGCTGGTGGTAGTGGTGGGCGGGGTCGAAGCCCATCGTGGTGGTGGTCGTGCAGTTGCCCCTCGGCTTGGGGCGGTGCTTCTTGCGCGGGTTGCTGTTCGTGCGCGCCGAGACGCGGTCGTAGGACATGTGCTTGAAGTTGTGCGCGCTGCGGCCGGAGCCGGTGTGGCCGTGGGCCCTGAAGTCGCCGCCGCTGCCGTACTGGATCACGTTGTACTCGTGGTCGAGCGGGTCGTCGCCGTGCAGCGACTGGGCGGGGTCGCAGTTCGAGTAGTGGTCGTCGGACGCGGACTCGATTCCGTTGTAGCCCGCCAGTGCGGGGTGATGCTTCATCAGGTGGTTGGTGGGCGCGTTGCTCGACTCGGTGGAGCTGCTGTGGCCCGCGTTGGCGATCGAGCTGTGGCCCGAGTAGTTCTCCGTGCCGGAGTTGGTGTCGCAGTTGCCCGTTAGCGTGTTGAGCGGGAAGCGCTGGTGGTCCATCGGGTTGCCGAAGCACTGCTCCGGCGCGGCGGGGTGGTGGCCCGCCGTCTCGTATACCGGCTTGCCGGTCCTCAGCGTGTACGTCTTTAGGTTCGTGTTGGTGTTGCATATCGTCGGGTAGTCGGACTCGAACTGCTCGTTGCTGGAGCCAGCCGTGCAGGGGAAGAAGCCAGATATCTTCTGGCCATCCGCCTTCTCGTGTTGCAGCGACGCGACGATTCCGATCTTGAGGCTTATCACCCACGAGATGAGCGCCACGACGCTGATCTCGATGAGCCGCAGCGAGAACTGGTAGCCCCACTGCAGCCAGTCGAACTTCGTCATGCTCACTTGGTTGATGCCGACGATGCCGTAAATCTGGAGGGTGGCCATCAGTACGAAGAGAAGCGCGGTCGCCAGGTTTATGTGTATCGCTTGATAGAGATTCTGGAAGCCGTGGATGTAGTTGTGGCTCTTCTTCTGCAGCACCGCCTTGAGGGTTTTGTACACGTAGAGGTAGCACAGGCCGAGGACTAGGCACACCACTATGAAGATGACCTGACAGGTCAAGCCCAACAGCCTCCTCTCCGCGCCCTGCGAGCTCCTGTGTATCGTGTTGCTGTTCTCGAAGATGTGCAACGCCACGCAAGTCAGCAGGAGCGCCCCCCCGCCCACGATGATAGTCCTCGACCTGAAGAGGAACGAGCAGCACTTGTTCCTGTAGTTGGCGCTGTTCGTCATCAGGAACAGTATGGTGCTGGCGAATGCAATCGCGAGGAATATCTCCGGCACGTGGAGCAGGATCTCGCTGATGAAGACGGGCAGCGAGACGTTTATGTTGTACGGGTCGTAGCATAAGTAGAATATCCTCATCAGGCACACGAATACGAGTATCAGGTGCAGAACTATGAAGTAGTACTGGGTGAATAGGTGGGTGAACTTGTTGTAGCATATGATTTTGAAGATCGAGTAGACGGCCAGTATGGTGAACATCACCGTTGCCAAGTAGATGTGGACGTTCCATGCGAACGGCCACGTGGCCCCAGGCCTCTGCAGCGGCCCGTTGCCCTTCGAGTCCTGCTTCAGCACCTTCTTGTCGGAGTCGACGTTCGCCAGGTTGTGGTACCGCTCCGTCGACATTTCTGGGTCCTTCAGCTCGAACCCGACCGTGGTCGCCGGCGGGTAGACCGCGCCGTGGTCGTCCGAGCGGTTGGTCGAGTGCTGCATGTTCCTCCTCGTGTTCGTTTCGCCCTGCTCGACTATCAGCGGTCGGTCGATGTTCATCTCGGGGTCGAGCACCGCCAGCACTGAGCCCTCGGTGGAGGGGTCCCGCGCGGTGTCGCTCAGGGTCACGCCCGTCTCTTTAGTGGAAAGGTCCCCCCTGGAGGTCTTTTCGGGGGCGTGCTGGGGCCTGGCGGTGACGGTCCGCAGCAGCACGTCCGGGATGTCCTCCTTCCGCCCGTTGGAGCCGGACAGGATCCTCGATATGGTCGGGATGTTCAGCGAGTTGGGCACGAAGTCCGTGAAGTTGGCCTGGTCGGGGCCGTGCTTCGCGTCCGCGTCCAGCTCGTCCGGCTGCAAACGGATAAGTGGGTTATTTGTTGTACTAAAAACCTACAACCGAAACGACTTTAGGTGTAGATTTGTCATGAGAAACGGTTCTGTTAAGCTAATGTTAAGTGTTCACTAAACCCAGGTTTCTGTTGAAACAGGTACATCGAGTTTTCGGTGTTGTATGCTCAGTGTATGCATTTTTTTTTTTCAAGCAAATATTGAATAAATTCATTTTGACTTGACTTCAACTCGGCTGTTAATTCATTGCGCAATAACAAAATACAAGACGTGGCGGACTATATTTTAGAACACAGGTCTTCACACAGGTTTTCACAGAGGTCGCATTTGCTCCACAATGGGACGTGATATAAGCTGATAAGAAGTCTGTACGAATGTTTTATATAATTTGTGAAATATGAAATTAACGCGACCCTTATTGGGAATTGTTAAATGTAGCCTACAAACAGGTTATTTATTGTTTTTATTATTTAAACAGATACCAACCCTATGACTAGGGGTGTTGAGTGGCTTTTTCTTCTGCGGCTCGAGGCTAGTTGGCGGAGAGGGCGGCGCGGGGGGAGGTGCCGGGACTTGTGGCGAAGACGTCTCCTGGAAAAATTAACAATACATTACTTTACTTGTTACTTTAAAGTACTTTAAGATTAAAATTAGATTAATTACATTATTTACTTTGTCACTTTGGTTTTTATATTAATTTTTATTTACAAAAAAACCTTTCACTTGTGCAAAGTATCGGAAACGTTGGATTTTTAACAATTAACGTATTTTTTTGTACAATTAACAATTTTTTTTAACAGTTAACGAACTATCATTACAAAATCAGTTGAGGCTGTTAATAGCGAAGAAAAGTGTTAGATTTTGGCGTTAACAAGTGCTTAATGCTTAAATTTCTATTGTCTATGCATCGACTTATATCACCTGAGAATCCATTCATATTGACTATCCCTCCATCTCTATTGCCTATGCATCCACTTCTCTCGCCTATCCATTCAAACACTTCTATCAGACGAAAAACCATTTGCTTTAATTTTATGTGAGGCGGCAAACGAGCTGGCGGTTCACCTGATGTTAAATGGTCACAGCCCCCCATTGTCATTTGCAACAACACATTTGCACTTCCACCTCACGCCGGTCTTCTGTGAGGTCGCGGTACTTACCCGGACGGTCCTGCCCATTCGTGCAACAGGGAAGACCGTTGCGTGGCCCTACCATATTTCTATTGCCTATCCATCCATTAGATAAGGAGTGTCGGCTCACCTGTCCTGGCGGTCTGATGGGTATACGGTCGTGGCCCGGCCCGAGCGAGGGCGGCGGAATCGGACGCCGGTTGAGATAGTTGTTACCATCTGTATTCGTGCCTGAGGAATAATTACAGAGTACACATTACAATTCGGGTCCAAAAGATCATCACTGTTGTATGATTCTTTTTCTTTTATGTGAGAAGGTGGCAAGCCAGCTGTCATTTCACCTGATGTTAAATGATATCCACCGCCCATGGACATTCACAACACACTTAGGGTTGCAGACGAGTTGCCAATGTGGCCCCCGGCTACCTCACTCACCAGCGAAACGCAGAAGTGCAACACTTCTACTTCACGCTCGTCTTCTGTGAGGTCGTGGTACTGACCCGGACGGACCTGCCCATTCGTGCAATAGCCGAAGCCGTTAGGCAATTGAAATGATGTATTTTATGTTGTTGCGTGTCGCTGGAACCGTTTGAAGCTCTGCTGGTCGCGGTTACGTGGCATTTGAGTTCATGTCACACGATGCGCGACGACAACAGAAATGAGCAAATTGTTATTCAGACAGCGTCACGTCTCGACACGAACCATGCATAGTGAGGCATCCCACAGATATTCAAGAGTAACAACAATGAATCGTTTCTACGAATTGACACTTGTGATGCTTTTGGACTTCAAACTTATTGTCCCAAATGCGGGGAGATTTTGGAGATTCGCGCGATGATGTAACGCATAATAAGTAACTGTTTATATTTTTTTATTTTGAATAAATTTCTGATAACAAAAACTGGTACGGTAAAACTTTATACAGCTTACGTCAAACCTTTTACCACTTGAGGGATATACAAATAATAAATACATAAATATTTCACGCATCTTTTTTACAGAACGTTATATAATATCAATTTAAGTAAACTTATCCTTAAAATATTAGGTAACTAGGATACATAATTAAACATTTTTATTTTTTAAATAAAAAAAAACAGAAAATATAGAAAAACCCAGACACTAGAAAGAAGCACTATGTTCATCACGCAATATTTTCCCATCAGCGAGAATCGAACCCACACCCTCCGTCGCAAGAGACAGGTTTACCACCCACTACGCCAATCGGGATTAAAAAGCGAGACATCGAGAGGGTCACTCCCGTGTTTCGTGCTAGGCGCCCCGAGCGTCCGGCCACAAGTCTGTACTATCTGCAACGACGTCCCTAAGTGGCTCTTCCTGCAAAAAAAAAAGAAGGGTCACTCACCTCGCAGTGTCGGCTTATCGGCGAATGGGTTCCTATACTCGGGGGGCAGGGGCGGCGTGAAGAAGGCCCTTCCGGGCGGCGCGTACGATGGCACCGCCGCGCCGCCGCCGACGCCCGCCAGCAGCGCCGCTCCGTGGTGCTGCGGCGGCCTGCGGAAACGACAAGTCTTACGTCACACACCGCGAGAGAAGAACGCGCCGTGACGTCATCGAGTGTGCGTCACATTTGAGGTAAGGCGCTCACAGAACGCCGGCTTGAAGCGAGTCCCTGACTAATAGGAGGTGCGGAACCTTACAGTCGTGATGTCACGCATTGTGAGAGAAGACATGCCGTGACGTCATCGAGAATGCGTCGCGTTAGAGGGTAGGTAGTTTACACTGTGACGTTTGTAAGGCGCTCACGGAACCTCGGTTTGAATCGTGTCGCTAACTACTAGAAGGTGTGGAATCGAGCTGTCGTGACGTCACGCACTGTGAGAGAAGAACACGCCGTGATGTCATCAGTGTTGCCCAGCTGTGGAATATGTATAGGCTGTTACTTTACTTTATTTTTTAAGTTCTAAAAATAAAATTGATCATACATTTTATCCTTCGAACCAAACTCTTCGCCCTAATATCTGGGGGTCTCTAAAAACTTGCGAGGCCCTCACGGAGACGAATGGACTCGGCCGACAAGTATTAAGAGCACGAATTTAACTGCCCTAATCCCCGATCCGTTTTATGTCGGCCAACATTAATTTTATTACGCGCCCAAAACAGAAATGCCGCCTGATTCCCGGTTATATCTCCGTTTTTAGTGACGAAGTTTAATTGTCGAATGGAATTGACGATTTGGAAACAACGCGAGTACGCATCGCACCGGGCGGGACTCGTCGGCGCGTTTAGTGGCGGCGTCGCGCGTTCATTCGACTTATCGGGAATGCATCCACCGGGAGCACTGACTGTTTCATTCGTACTGTGTTCAAGTATACTAATTATCTTGAAGCGCTGCCAATTCGAACCGATCCTGATGATACATAACTATGCACATTTTAATTAAGTTTGTTGAATCCGTCCGGTGTGAATAGCACTTTACCGTCGTGTTTTCAGATCGAAAGTATCTAGATGCAAAAAAAAAATACTAGCATTCCGCCGTCATTACCGAAACTGGGACGAATCTGGAAAAACTCAGCAAATCTCGAGCCGAAGTGGGGCGCGAGATAAACATTTATTATCCATGCCCAAATCCCTTCACGCTTTATGGAGTGACTCGGCAGTTCACAAAGTAACTACTAAATCATGTTTTACGCGAAATGTTTGAACGGTTAATACGAGTTGAATTCGATCTTAATGTAAATTTAGGATGCCTCACAATTTAGGAATACATTTGACGGCCTACAGGGCGATGCCGTACGGCAGTTAATTTACAATCAAATCCAGATTGTATCAATCACCTCTTAAAATTCAAATATCGAACAGCTTCTGTTCACGCCATTTTTTTTAAATATCAATTCATAAAACGTATGTAAATAAATAAGTTTCACAATTCTATTTAATTACATTATAACGCACACACCACTCATTACTGGCAATACTATTGATATCCACACATATCCCTCCCCTTCCGCTTCCCTATAAAAGCAAGAAGAAACGAAGATTGACCTCTTTCTCAACGCTCCAGACATACTCTCATACAACCACATCGCTGTGGTTCAGTGTTCACTCTAGTTGGTCAAAAATGTTATGGGAATAGACCAGTGACCGCGGTTCAAAATGAGACATCGAAGGACAACTCCAACTCCAACTTTTCCTATCACCTCTACTCGCCAACATGATTTTAATAAACATATGTTTAATACGCAAGCGTTTAACCCAATAGTACCGCGACCCGTTCTTATTCCAGCGTGTTTTTTCCACCCAGAGATGGTTTCATTAAAATGCGGTTAACGTCGCGAGAATAAAGCGGACCGGGCGTTCGGCCAATTTTTCCGATTACCATACGCGTGTCGCGATCCGCCCAGACCTGCGGTCGCTCGGCGCGGACTAGGCACGCGGGGGTCATCTCACGCTGGACGCCGCCGGGTCAACGGTACGCTTCAACTGGTGCCGGGTGGGAGTGTATCGCGAAAATCTGCGAGAATTCTGAACGGAGCGGCGGTGACGGAATTTTAAATTTCAGAATAGCTCCCCGCCGCCGCCGCTCGGCGACCGAGGGGGTCTATTGCTGAATCGTGCGAATTTGCACTTTATTGAATCCGAACGCCGCCGTCGACGAATGCGGTCCCGTCGGGCGTCACACGTGACAATTTATCGATGAGAATTAACTGGCATATGTATGTATGGTATGCACATATTTTAGCATGACGATTGCGGACGGGGTCTGGCTAGGATTTCCAATTGAAACATCGGTCGACGCGGGTTCGAACCTGCGGACGACCGTGTTAATGAGCGATTTTCGCATTTCTCCACGGTCGGCTCGTTGCGGCTTTTTGATAAAATAACGCTAGTATCGTTTCCGGTTGGCTAAATTGTGCGGCCGGCTGTTGTCGCAGCGCGCTTCGACAACAGCCGACAAGCTCGATAACTGTTTGTAATGGGGCGTGGAGCGTCGAGCGTAGTATTTTTTTTTAATGTGAAAAGTTGCCAAGCGAGCAGACGGTTCACCTGATGTTAAGTGAATATCACCGCCCTACGACTTCTGCTGCATCCGAGGGTTCCAGATGCGTTGACAACCCTTTCAAAATTGGGCTCTGGCCACCTCACCCACCAGACGAAACGCGAAAGTATTATACTTCTACTTTACGCCGGTCAGTGATACGAGATACGGCCGATTAAAACTTCTTACACCTAAGTAGCTCATGCCATGCTTATGTCATAAGCTACAATTCTACCGTATTCAAAAAGAAATTCCGATATTTCTCAACCCTTTAGATTGCATGTAGATTGTTATTCACAACAAAGTGGACGAACCAAAGTCGATCGCGGTCACTTCAACTCTACTCTTACTTCGTCGACGACTGAAGCGTATAAAAATAATTAAACACCGACCGCAGACTTCATAACTAGAGCTGGCCACTAGAGAACTCGGTCAGTGGGAGAGTGGAGTAAAGGAGAGACTTTAGAAAGGAACCTCTCATGTTTCGGCATAATGGAAACGTGGAGAAACAGGGAGACTTGTGTCCGCACGAAATAATGAAGACTTAATACGCATTAGAGTCGCCTAAGCTGCATTTCGAATGCAAATTTAATAACTCGCCGGGACCTGAACGAAAGAAAGACGGCGCATTGTGGCGCCGCCTGTACATTTCGGTTAATTAAAACCGCCCCGCTCGGATGTCCGCTACGCGAAATACGGAATGGTCGTAGAGGGAAAAAACGGAATACTTCCCCCGACTTCAGGATACTGTCTTAAGTGCAGTTTGTTTTGATAATAAATATATAACCGTGAAATGGTCGAACTGTAGAAGTTAGGAATAATCTATTAGTTGCGACAATCGTGTTAATCTATATTAAACTCGTTTGTGATTCCTATAGATAGAATAACTTTGATTTATAAATTGCAAAATACATACATTGTGTTTCTACGGAAAATAGGAGAAAATATAGGACAGTGGAGCAATAAAGTTAACTTGTGACTGTCTTTTTGTGAATACATATGAGTGTCTTATGTGGATATCAGGCAATGTAGCAATTACAGTTCGGAAATTGTAATTATTGCATAAAAAGAAAATTTGTTGGTAATTTTGCATGTGTGAAAACGAGACAGAATTCGTTCGTTAATACGGTTTTATTTAAATACATTTTTATTCAGTACAGTTGAACCGCTAAGCGAAGATTTTTCGTGCAAATAGAATGCCCTACACGCGCGGGCCGTTTCCTGAACTGTCTACCGTCGCAATTGAAACCTCTTGACGCCCGTGAGGTTGAAGATAAGTTGCCAACCTTCAAAAGATTGACAGGTTACCTCACTTTACACGAAATGCGAAAACGTAAACACTGCTAGTTTACGCTGTGTCAGCGAGATCCTTTTACTTCCCTATACAAACCGACTTGTTCACATGCGTGGCTTCACCTCGGTATGTATTCATATATTATATTGTGAGGATTTACGACTTGCAAGAGATTAGTGAACTAATCCGCGACTTTCAAACGATGAATGAAGTTGAAATAAACGATAAATGTATAAGTATCGTGAAAATCAAAAACAAAACAAAAATCTCGGGCTGCATTTCCAAATAAAAAAAGGTCCATTTTGGAAACACGCGAAGTAAGAACGAGTACGGCGGACGTGTCATGTAGAATTTTTAGCCTGTTGTGTTGAAAAAAAATACCCTTCTTTTTTTCGAAAACGGGACCTGCCAGGCGGAAAATATACAGGAGAACCCTCTCACAGACATTACGTGCGTACATAGGTACGTATAGGATATCGTGGTGCATAGCAGAAATGGGACGCAATAAAACGAAACAGCCATTTTATAGAGAGACAGAGAGAAAAAAACACAAAGCATTCGTGCGGATAAAGTGAAACAATCTTACCGTACTGGCCACTTCGCTGACCCATACATTCATTCATCCGTTCGTTCGGAATAAACAAAACGTTGAAAAACAAAAACGCCAATCTCTCTGCAATCGGTTACCGTGGTCAAGGAACAAGTTCTGCGCGATTGAAATGAAAAATACACATATATAAAATGCGACCGTATTCCACTCGTCGGTATGTACGTTCAATGAACGGAACGATAGAGAAAGAGAGAGAAAATGTACATAAATAAAACGCGAAGCGATCCGCGGAACAATGCGAGTGTAGTTTTGCAAAACAATAGCGGTTTAGATTAATGGCCGTCTCTCGGAAACAGCGCCCGGTCTGGGGGGGATACTTCGCGAAATATCGGCGGCGTGGTGGCACGAGCGATAAGCGGTAGCGATTCTGCCTCGCTTTTAATAACCCTCAATCTCTATTTTTTTTATTTAATAAAGAAAAAATTGAATCTCGTTAAGTTTAATATGTCCACTAACCCACTGATAATTTTTTTTTGCCTGTGGTAGGATAATGGAACAGCTTCTGCTTGCTAGCCGCTTGAAAAGTTGGCAAGCGAGACATTTAGCATCAGGCGAAACGCCTCATCTGATGCTAAGTGTCTACTCCCGCTCACGGATATCTTCAGTTGAAC